ACCACCATATTAATAATGGCCCCGTTTGGTAAGTTGTGGGAAAGTGATTATAACTTAAACTTAACGGCTTATACCTTATAACTGTGAACATAAGCTATTTTGACTTATAAATTAAGTTTCTCTTTCCCACTCAAAGAATAAATTAATTTTTGATTTACAAAAACTATAAATTATATTATAATGAACCAAATACTTAAAATATTAAATTAAACTAAAAATTAAAATAAGGTGAAAATAAACCCACCAATAAGGCCAATGGAGCCAAACCAACGAAGCTAAGTATACATATTATATAGGGCAATTACATATACTCCTCGAGATTTGCTAATACAGAATCCCCTGAGATTTCGGAAATTAATCCCGCCCATGAGGTTTGTTTTTCATAACAATTTGCCCCTAGTTTATATTTCATAACAAATTACCCCATAATTTCTTATGTAATATAGCATTCAGGGAAGAATTCGTAATTTCTAATCTCAGAGATATCTGTAATTTAGCCACCTCGAGGGTATATGTAATTTGCCCATATATATATATATATATATTTGTCATTTAAAAATTAAAAAAAAACAATTCAACGAGTGAGTGCAGTGAGACAAGAGTGGTGTGTAAATAGAAACTCCCCGCATACAATAGAGAGAGTCAGAGTCGAACTCTCCCTTTCTGGGTGACAAACAAACAGACAATCTTCGTTGCGTTTGCTGGGTTTGGTTTGGCACCTGAGAGAGCGCTTCTCAAACCCTAGGAAAAAGAGTCTGTCGTCAACTGTACGGAACATTAAAAAAAAAAAAAAAAAAAAGCCCAGAAGGTAAGAGTGGTTTGATTAATTATCCATGTTTATTCAAAGATTTTCATTTCCCTTTTTTTATTTTATTTTTCTGGGTATCTGTACTTTTTTATTGTTTTAGTTTCAAGCATTCTGATCTGTTTTTGGATTTTCTTTTCAGGGTTTTCAATCTCTGTGACAAGATCAGCAACACAGATCTCAACAAAGAGGGTACCCTTTTCTCTCTCTTTCTCTCTCCATTTAAAATAACCATTGGAGATTTGTATCTATGCATTTGTTCTTGCATGTATACATTTCGATTATTTCTGTTCTTTTTGATTTGGTTATCATTGTTCAAATCAACATGTAATTTGAGAAAAATTGGGGACTCTATTTTTTTTTTTTGGGGGGGGGGGGTGTCATAAATTGCCTTGAAGATCGCTTTTTTTGTATTGATTTACAAGGGTTTGGGTCCTCTCCGAACCGTTACGACTCTTCCGCCTTCTTGTGATGATTCTATGAGCTGTTTGGCCATGAAATTGTTTTTGATTTGAACCCCTAATGGCTTGAAATGATGTCCCTTCCATTTTCAGAGCTGATATCCACATCCGACATCACAATTCAGGGATTCTGAAAGTTAGAAGTTAGGGGTGTGGAGATGGTCCTGATCCATGTTCGCTATCGAGTCAGTTGAGTTAAAACATTAAGTAAAGGCCATTTTAGGGCATAATAATTAAACCCATTTTGATTTTCTTCCTGGTGATGTGATTTTTTTGCAATGACTTTAATGCGACATACAATCTTCCATTTTGTATGTTGCAGTGCCCCTCAATTTTAAATTGATAAATCAAATTCCATTGGGGAAAGTGCTCCACTTCATCCGTGGGCTTGGTATTTGGAGAATTTATTGGGGCAAAACTTTTAGCTCCTTTACACATCTTTTTGGTTAAGAAAACTTGTCAAACACTTGGAAGAAGTTGATTCTGATCAAGGAATGTTTTTGGGGAAGAATTTTGGTTGGCAAGTTGTTAATCATTATTGATTAGTTTTAGATTTAATTTAAAAATAAAAATGAAATAAAAACCTAATCTACCAACGCTTCTTTAATAACTTCAATAAATGTTAGCAATGACTAAACTTCAATTGCATTGTTTCTTTATCACTCAAGATGTTTTAACCTTGTTTGCTTGGTTTATATGTGTTTGTCAACTCAATGCAGAGAGTTTAGCTCAAGTTTTTGAAAAGCGGTTGTAGTCGCCGTAATGGTAGCAGTGGTGCGGTTGTGGTTGCAGGGGTGTAAAGGCCATAGTGTAACGATTGCGGTAATTGGAATCGTGAATTTTTTTATTTTTCACACAATTTGAAAAAACTTACCGATACACATTTTTTTCCATAATCATATTTATTGGGTTTTAAAATAAATATTGATCAATTTTTGTAAGTTTTTAAGTATGATCCAATATATTTCATATTTTTAAATCACTATAAACTGAGTTTTTTTACATTTTATTTTATAATTAATAATTTTAATGTCATAAATCCATATTACGTTTGTGGCACAAAAAAAAAAAAAAAAAAAATATTAGACTTAGATGTATAAAATTATTTTTTTATTATTATACTTGTGGAAGCATATGCAAATGTTAACTTGAATAGTTTTTAATAACAAATTATACATGCTAATGTAATTATATAAAAATTAAAAAATAAATTATAAAGATTTTTTTTTTTTTTTTTTTAAAGTTTAGATCACTTGAAATTTATTATCTTTTTGGATAACCTGTAAATAAAAATAAAATAAACTAATAAAAAATTGACATATATAAAATATGTATTAATATTTAATTATAGGAGTTATGTTTGTCGATATTTTACAAAAAAATTAATCACTAACTATTATATATAAGATAAACAATGATAAAAGTAAGAAATAATAAAAGTCTAATATATATATTTATTTTAATCAAGCCAAATAGATAATAACTACACTTATTATTATTATTATTATTATTAAACAATATATAGATAGACACACATAAATAAAATAGTTGAGTGATGGCAGTTGAATATAATAGCATAGGTCTTACACCTTTAACAAATAATAATATGTTCTTCATCTTTTCTCTTCTCCTCTCTTTATCTTTTATCCTCCATCTTCCCTCTTCATCTTCCATCTTCTCCCTCTATCCTTTGTTCTCCATTTTTGGCTTCTTTTTTTTTTTTTTTTTTTCGAAAGAAGCAGTTGGAACCATTACGTAACGGTGCGTAACAGGCCGTTATAGCACTGTAGCACCGTTACGACCGCTGCGGCAGTCGCTACGGTCAACATACTTGTGAATCTCAATCACACCGAAAACGGCCATAACGGGTGGCGGTAACCACACAACCGTTACGTAACGGCGTTGTAGGTTGCGGCCACTTTTTAAAACCTTGATTTAGCTCGATAATCATTGGGAACCACATAACAATCACTTTTCTATAATTAAGATCTATTTTCACACGGAGAAGAAAAGACATATGTCCTTGCTTTTTCTTTCCTTTTTCGGTCATGTCCTTACTTTACCTACAGAGAAACAAGGACATTTTCTATCAATGGAAGAGCTTGTGATAAAATTGGTCTGTTTTGGTCCATAACTAAGATGAAAAGAAGGGGAAGAGCGGATCCTCTTGATGCAACCCTTGGAAGTCTAAGTAAGATTGGTGTTGAGGTCTATGTACGTTGTTTTTATAGAGGGCTTTTTAAGTAGGGGTGTTGGAGGAAGCTAACCTGATTG